CCACAAGCTTCAGCAAGGGATCCCACAAGCTTCAGCAAGGGATCCCACAAGCTTCAGCAAGGGACCCCACAAGCTTCAGCAAGGAACCCAACAAGCTTCAGCAAGGGATCCCACAAGCTTCAGCAAGGGATCCCACAAGCTTCAGCAAGGAACCCAACAAGCTTCAGCAAGGGATCCCACAAGCTTCAGCAAGGGATCCCACAAGCTTCAGCAAGGGACCCCACAAGCTTCAGCAAGGGATCCCACAAGCTTCAGCAAGGAACCCAACAAGCTTCAGTAAGGGATCCCACAAGCTTCAGCAAGGGATCCCACAAGCTTCAACAAGGGACTCCACAAACTTCAGCAAGGGACCCCACAAGCTTCAGCAAGGGATCCCACAAGCTTCAGCAAGGGACCCCACAAGCTTCAGCAAGGAACCCAACAAGCTTCAGCAAGGGATCCCACAAGCTTCAGCAAGGGATCCCACAAGCTTCAGCAAGGGACCCCACAAGCTTCAGCAAGGAACCCAACAAGCTTCAGCAAGGGATCCCACAAGCTTCAGCAAGGGATCCCACAAGCTTCAACAAGGGACTCCACAAACTTCAGCAAGGGACCCCACAAGCTTCAGCAAGGGACCCCACAAGCTTCAGCAAGGAACCCAACAAGCTTCAGCAAGGGACCCCACAAGCTTCAGCAAGGGATCCCACAAGCTTCAGCAAGGGATCCCACAAGCTTCAGCAAGGGATCCCACAAGCTTCAGCAAGGAACCCAACAAGCTTCAGCAAGGGACCCCACAAGCTTCAGCAAGGGATCCCACAAGCTTCAGCAAGGGATCCCACAAGCTTCAGCAAGGGACCCCACAAGCTTCAGCAAGGAACCCAACAAGCTTCAGCAAGGGACCCCACAAGCTTCAGCAAGGGATCCCACAAGCTTCAGCAAGGGATCCCACAAGCTTCAGCAAGGGACCCCACAAGCTTCAGCAAGGGACCCCACAAGCTTCAGCAAGGGACCCCACAAGCTTCAGCAAGGGACCCCACAAGCTTCAGCAAGGGATCCCACAAGCTTCAGCAAGGGATCCCACAAGCTTCAGCAAGGGACCTCACAAGCTTCAGCAAGGGACCTCACAAGCTTCAGCAAGGGACCTCACAAGCTTCAGCAAGGGACCTCACAAGCTTCAGCAAGGGACCTCACAAGCTTCAGCAAGGGACCTCACAAGCTTCAGCAAGGGATCCCACAAGCTTCAGCAAGAGATCCCACAAGCTTCAGCAAGGGACCTCACAAGCTTCAGCAAGGGATCCCACAAGCTCCAGCAAGGGACCTCACAAGCTTCAGCAAGGGATCTCACAAGCTTCAGCAAGGGATCCCACAAGCTTCAGCAAGGGATCCCACAAGCTTCAGCAAGGGATCCCACAAGCTTCAGCAAGGGATCCCACAAGCTTCAGCAAGGGATCCCACAAGCTTCAGCAAGGGACCACACAAGCTTCAGCAAGGGATCCCACAAGCTTCAGCAAGGGACCACACAAGCTTCAGCAAGTGACCAAGCTTCAGCAAGGGACCTCACAAGCTTCAGCAAGGGACCTCACAAGCTTCAGCAAGGGACCTCACAAGCTTCAGCAAGGGACCTCACAAGCTTCAGCAAGGGACCTCACAAGCTTCAGCAAGGGACCTCACAAGCTTCAGCAAGGGACCTCACAAGCTTCAGCAAGGGACCTCACAAGCTTCAGCAAGGGACCACAAGCTTCAGCAAGGGATCCCACATCACAAAACTTAACTACTAAGAGTTCGGTCATCGCTGAAAATCGGCCTCGTTGTCATGCAGGAACAAAAGTTTTCTGATTTCCTCTCTTAGTCATCTTGTACAACGACCTCGACCACCATCACCACTACGACTACCATCATCACCACGGCTGCCATCACCACGACTACCACCACCACACCTGTTACTATGTATGATAATTATACTTATGTGTACCTCTGTCTAAATAAATTTGTATAGCTCCTTTCAAAACAGGTGATATTGCTGACCTGGAGAATGTTCAGAGAGCCTTCAGTGCTCTCATAGATTCAGGCAAAGCATCTAAATTACTGAGAAGTCCTTCGATCTGTACTCCTTGGAACTTAGGCGAGAGAGATGCATTATAATCTACAACTGGAAACTTCTTTTAAGGATTGGTCCCAAATCTGCCAACACTAATCACTCCCCATGAACATAAGAGGCTTGACAGGCGGTGCAAAATATCCCAAATGAAAAGCAGGAGTGCCAGGAGTACACTAATGGAAAACCCATTCATTGGGGTTCACTGCTAGTGGGGTTCAGTGCTGGCAGTGTTCAATGATAGCAGTGTTCAATGCTGGTGAGGTTCATTGCACTCACAGAGACGTGACTAAGGAGTGACTGACTAAAAGGTCCCACCATATGTTTCTCCAGCCTGGCCTCACACCTGCCACACACACCTGCCACATACACACACACACACACACACACACACACACACACACACACACACACACACACACACACACACACACACACACACACACACACACCCTCACACACACCCTCACACACTAATATTTTCTCTTCGTATCACCACTTGTTCTTAGTTAAGCTTTTAATTAAGTTTTTGCCTCTCATAATGTTTTAAAACTTATTTCTCGCTTTTTACGGTGCATAACTGTGCACTTTTTTAAAATCTGTACGCAAAGTGCATCTTCGTGATATCTTCGTGATTTTAAAATATAAAAGTATTAGCAGTGGTAGTAGTCGTATAGTAGTAATAGCAACAGTGGTAGTGGGGGTCAGCGCCCCCCTCAACCCGGTCCCAGACCAGACCTCCTGGTAGCTTCGTATCCTTGATAGCATCTTCATATTTGTCGACTAAGAGCACTGGCTCCACCCATCATCAGGAAGTCTATTCAAGTTTAAACAAATAGTTACACAGATTATCATACATAGCAGCATATGTGTATAGAACCTGGGATAATCCAAAAAAGTCAGACACAGTGACTTATTTCCAGTGGGGTCCTTAATGTATAAACATTAATTGGTGCTACAATTAATTGGTAGTACTAGGCTAAACTTGTAAGTCCCTCAACGTCCTCTATGTATTAAATTTTGCACAGGCTCACCGCAGTGTTTTATATCTTGTCAGAAAACACTCCACAGACCTACAGGAAGGTACCTTGATTCTGGTGAGGGCGCTTGAGCCAAGGAATTGAGATCTTCCCCCCCCCCCCTTTTCCCCTTCTGTAGGATCTGATTACCTTTATTCCCCTGGCGTTTTATGTATCTTTCGGGTTTATGGCTTCTTCGTAATGCAGTAATGATCTACGGCTGCCGGAGGTAAGACAGGTCGATGGTTCAGGTCTCTGCTGGGGTTTAGTCGAGAAGGAATAGTAGGAGGAGGGCGTATATTAGTAGTTGTAGTAGTACTAATAGTTGTAGTAATAGTCGTGGTAGATGCATTAATAGTTGTGGTAATAAAAGTAGTTGCAGTAGTAGTAATATTAAGTTGGATAAAGGCACACACAAATACAGTTGAACAAATTATCATACAAAGTAACGTGTGTCAGTTACCCAGTAGGATAACCCAACAAAAAGTCAGTGACTTGTTTCCTTGTAGTACTAGTTGTAGTTGTTAAGGCGATCAAGGGTTGTTTTCATTGCTATTTCCTGAACCCCACCTTATCACCTTCCCAATTATCGTCCAGGTTTGGCTAGTATTTCCTCCTAGTGCACCGGAAACTATGAATCACTGCTGAACCAGCTAAGCATTGAAGCACCTGTGTGACTGGACCAGGCACTTGTTTTCTGCCCTAAATCCACACCATGTCAGTGACATTCTTTTGGGCCTAACAGTGTTTATTACGTGTAAGCTACATTACCTGTATACTACAGAAAAGTAATTGTATTTTTATTTGTATTTTGTATGATGTCAGTATACAGTGACGTTTGTGTTTTTCATTTCATTAACCTAGTCTAGGTTAGTACTTTTATTAGAGATTAAAACATTGTTGAGTGAGATTATAGTCTATTCTATGGACCTGTGCTCCTGACAGGATGTAAACTGAGGCTGTATTTTTCTGTATATATGCTGAGAGTTTGCTTTAATAACTGTTTAAGGGATTAAAGTATTCTTGTCTGGGTGTGAAAAGGTTACGTGCAGCCTTAATGACCTTAGTGTAGACGATAGGCTTGAAATCCCCATTAACCAACGACCCTAAGTGTAAGAAGCAGAAGAGGCAGGTGAGGGCGTCACTTGTGGTGGCCCTATACTTGTAGGTAAATATTACTCTCTCTTCCTACTCCCTATATACAAATATTTACCTGACTGTTATTTATATATGTATGTATGTCGTGCCGAATAGGTAAAACTTGGGATTTTGGCTCACGAAATTAATCTTATTGAAGCTAGCTGGCCCAGTGGCTAACGCGATGGTCTGGAGTTTTGAGACTGACCGCGGATTCAAACCCCACCCGTGGTATGGTTTGCGATTTTGGTTGAAATAGCAACACTCTTCTTACCGAATGAGGCAAGGGAAAAATTGTGTGCATGTACAATGATTTCGCAAAAAAAGATCATTCTGAACCTAACGAAAAAAAATATATTTTAATGTGTTTGTTTATTAAATTGTCAGTTTATCTAAAATATATTTAGTTGGAGTAGGCTAAATTAAATTGCGCTTATTATAATAGCTTTAGGTAAGTTTTCTAAGGTTCTTTTGGTATAAAATTATTAATGTTTTGCATTCACATGAATAAAAAAAAATATCTTTAAACGTACAAGAGAAAAATTTAGATAGGACTTAATTTTTAAATGAGCTCTTGCTAACTGACCAGTTTTACCTATTCGGCACGAATAGGTAAAGCGATATTATATATATATATATATATATATATATATATATATATATATATATATATATATATATTAATATATATATATATAATATATATATATATATTATAATATATATATATATAAGGAGATATGAACAAACTTATTTTTTTTGTCTTTCAGGAATCCGAGTCGCAACAGCAGTGGAGATACTGAGAGGGGAGGAGCAGACACCACTCCAGCACACCTCCAGCCTGTAGTGGTGAGTGGGCCAACATTATAGTGAGTGGGGCCAGGAGGAGGGTAGTGAGTGGGTCAATATTATAGTGAGTGGGGGCCACCAGAGCAGGACAAGGACGACCTGAGCAGAAAGAAATCATTTTAACTTTACTGTATTACCCGAGGTAAATCACATACACGTTACTACATAACCACTTATTGTCAAAAATCTAAACTTGGGTTAGGAACCTGCATAACCGCAGCAGAACAGAAATTGGAACTATTTCAGCTTCCCTTAAGTAAATGAGTTTCTTCGTTTTCTGTAGTCTGCTTAATCTTTCATAGAAAACTTAAGATTGGGGTAACTACACTATTTTGCCCGGTAGACGCTTGAGTCATGGATAACAGATGTTGATCCAATTCAAATTCAAATTCAAAGTTTATTCTCTATAAGGATTACAATGCTGAGTTTACAGAATTTGGTTATTGTGTGGTTTACATGTAGTTAAATAATGATTACAGAGTGTACCACTAGAACACCTAGCATGGCTAGGCATTTCGGGCAGACTTAGTTTAATTCTTAATTTTAAAATATTACAAATTATGAGGTAAGTTGGTATTATGGCTAAGTGACTAAATACTAGTTTGTGAGTTTAGCAATGTGAATGCTTTTGTTTTCGCACAGTACATAGTTTCAGTATTGGAGTATCACGGGCCAACTTATGACTAGTTAAGATTCATAATTTTAAGATTGAGATTAATATTTCTGTTTATGGTCAAATGGGTGAGTGAGTGTAAGTGTGAACCACCAGGTGGTATTCGTGTAGTTAGTTGATGGGGTGTATCAGGGAGATAAGATGTTTTCTAATGGTAGTTTTGAAGGTGAATGTGTCTGCAGTTCTAGAGTTCTCAGGTAGGGTGTTCCAGATTTTAGGGCCTTTGACATACATTGAATTTTTGTAAAGGTTTAGTCAGACACGGGGAATGTCGTAGAGATGTTTGTGTCTGGTGTTATGCCTGTGGGTTCTGTCACAACTGTCAAGAAAGCATTTTAGGTCAAGGTTGATATTGGAGTTTAAGGTCCTGTAGATGTAGACTGCACAGTAGTAAGTGTGGATGTACTGAACAGGGAGTAAGTTTAGATCTATGAAGAGTGGGGGGGTGTGTTGCCAGGGATGGGATTTAGTGATTATTCTTACTGCAGCTTTTTGTTGGGTTATTATTGGCTTTAGGTGTGTTGCTGCAGTTGATCCCCAGGCACAAATAGCATAGGTGAGGTATGGATAAATAAGTGAGTGGTATAGTGTGAGAAGGGCATTTTGCGGCACGTAGTATCGTATCTTGGAGAGGATCCCAACCGTTTTGGATACTTTTTTTGTTATGTGTTGGATATGGGTGCTGAAATTCAGGTTGTTGTCAAGGAATAGGCCTAGGAATTTGCCCTCATTATGTCTGGTAATTAGAGTGTTGTCGATCTTAATGTTAATTTGTGCATCTCCTGCTCTGCTACCAAACATAATATAGTAGGTTTTGTCAGTATTAAGCGTAAGTTTATTGGCTGTCATCCAAGTCGATATTTTGATCAGCTCCTCGTTAACAATGGTGTTGAGGGTGACAAGATTAGGGTGAGAGATGACATAAGTCGTGTCGTCAGAAAAGAGAATGGGTTTCAGGTGTTGGGATACGTTTGGAAGATCATTGATGTATATGAGGAAGAGCAGGGGACCAAGGACACTTCCCTGGGGAACTCCAGTATCAAGTGGCCATGTTGCTGATGCTGTGTCTTTAATGGTGACATACTGATACCTATTAGTAAGGTAAAATTTGAAATAAGCAAGCGCATGGCCTCTTATACCGTAATGGTCAAGTTTGTGGAGTAGGCTGTCGTGGTCTACTGTGTCAAAAGCTTTTCTTAGGTCAATAAAAATTCCTAGTGGATATTCCTTATTTTCCAATGCTTGTTAAAGCAGATCTACCATTTTTATGATTGCATCATTAGTGCTTTTATTTTTCCTGAATCCAAATTGGCAGGGGTTGAGTATGTTTTGTGCCGTTATAAATGAATATAGTCTCCTGTGCACGAGTTTCTCAAAGATTTTGGATAGCAATGGCAAGTTTGATATTGGCCTATAGTTGTTTAAGTCTGTAGGGTCACCACCTTTATGTATTGGTGTAACCCTTGCCTTCTTGAGTAGTTTCGGGAAGGTGCTAGTTTCTAGTGACTTGTTAAAGAGTAATGAAATAGCATGTCGAAAGGACATGGGCCGCTCGCTTGTACAGTAAGGGTGGGACATGAGACAGATTCCCTGAGTTTATTTTTAAGTGACTTTATAATCTCGGTGACTTCCGTGGGCTCAGTTGGTGCAAGATAGAAGGAATTTGGGAAATTCCCATCTAGGTAGTCCCCGGCATGGGCATTGGTATGTGGATTTTATTGGCGAGATTAGATCCTATGGTTGAGAAAGAAGTCGTTTATCTTGTTAGCTGTGTCAGTGGGATGTAGTGGTGTTTCATTAGGTTTAGTTAGGACAATATTCTTGGTTTTTTTCAGTTTGTGGGTCCCTAGAATCTGAGTGTGTTTTCCAGGTCTTTTTATATCTCCTCTAGTGTCTGTGAATCTACTGGAGTAGTATAGTTGTTTGGCTTTCTTTATTACTTTGGTGAGAAGTGATGAATAGTGTTTATGAATATCTGTGTATTAAGCCCTGTCTATATTGCTTTTCATATTGGTGTTTCTTGTCAGTGGATTTCAGAATGGTGCTGGTTAGCCATGGGCAACCAAGCCGTTTGTTTGTGATCTGTTTCGTTTTTATAGGACAATGTTTGTTGTATAGTCTAAGTAATTTGTTGAGAAAAATGTTTGTCCAGTCATCAATACCATTGGCCTTGGAGAATTCTGTAGGCTAGTCAACAGTCTCTAGGTCAGCTGTGAACTTCCTTATTGAGGCCTCGTCATGGAGTCTAAATGAGACTTTGTTGTATTCAAGTGGTGGTTTACTAATGTTTGTCAGGAGGAAGGTAGGGTAGTGGTCTGTAGTGCTATCTGTGATTATCCCTGATTTGAGGGGGGCTAGTATATTGGTCCATATGTGGTCTATTATGGTTGCACTTGTCTCAGTGAGCCTGGTTGGTTTAGTTATTGTTGGTATGAGAAGTGTGTTGTTCATATTGTTGATGAAATCAGTTACAGGCTGATCATCTAGTAAGCCAAGGTTGATGTTGAAGTCTCCAGCTAAGAGAAGGTGGTGCTTATTCATTTGTCTGTTTGTTATTAGTGACTTTAATTACTCATTGAAATTTGGGATGTTTGTGTGAGGTATCCGGTAAATGGCACCGATAGTTATAGGTGTCTTAAGGTTTTTTACAGTAAAATTAGCAAAAATGTATTCCCCATATTCATCACTAAAGCAAGTGGTGATAATACAAGATAATTGGTTAGAGTAATAGATTGCAATACCACCCCCAACTTGGTTTGGTCTGCATTTGTGAATTGCAGTGTATCCTGGTAGAGGGTAGATATCTATTGTGTCCTGCTTAAGCCAGGTCTCAGTAAGAATAATGCAGGAGAAGGGTGTCTTTAGTGATTCAAGGAGTGCCAGGAGGTCATCATAGTGTTTGCTTAAGGACCTGATGTTGTAGTTAAGTACTGATAGACTTTTAGCATTGTTTAGGATAGTGCTGGCTTGTGATGCTGTGTAATAAAGGCAGTTACTTTCCAATAGGTTTTGATTGGGTGTCAGATTATGGAGGTTTAGATCAGGGTCAACGTGATCAATCATCTTCTAGGTTTAAATTATGGTTATTTATACCTGAGTTGTGTGTGAGTTCTAGTACTGATATCTGTAGTGGTGGGAAGTTTGGACAAGTATATAGCTAGAGTATTTTGGTCATATAGAGTATAGTCACTACTACACATAATAAAGTTGATGTTGTCTATGTGTTGTGCTGGAATGAACTAAAGTACAACTAGGTATAAACTAGTAATATAAAAATACAAATTAAAAATAGAACAAGACTCTCACTTGTAATTGCACTAAGGTCTAATAATGACTTTTGTGGAGTCCATGTTTTGAGCTAGAATGAGCTATAGTACAACTAGGTTTAATCTAATAATATAAAAATACAAATTAAAAATAGCACCAGTCTCTCACTAGTAGTTGCACTATGGTCTAATATAATGAATTTGGTATTGACTATGTATTGAGCTACAATGAGCTACAATGATGCTAAGATCTCACAGCAAACTTTAATCAGACACACCGATACTTACAATGGTACACACTTTGCCAAGATGCATTTTCTTACAACTTCTCACAAAACCTTACTTACGTGTCATCTCCTCAGGCATTATATGATATGCAAAGTTAGATCCTTCTCATGAATATAATTATGCTACGTACATTACAGCCCAGAAATCATTATTATTTTGCAGTATATTCCTTAGAAGAATTATAATGCAACAGCCTTGTCCTTATCTCCCATCAAGGGATATTCCTTGATGCTGGTGAGGGGCTCTTGATGCAAGGAATTGGACTTGCCCTCCCCTTGGATCGAACTTGGATATCTCCCATTCTCCCAGGTGCTGTATGACCCCCTGTGGGTTTAGCACTCCCCATGAATAATAAAAATTGTTCCTATCCTAGATTATGGTAACCCTGTAGCGTCCATCTTGTTATGTTATAGATGTGCGAGGCCCATGGTTGCCATAAACAACTATGCATAATGATAAACTCCATACACTCTGCAAATGGTACAGATCACACACATTGAATTAGTATCTCATGTACAGAATTACCGATAATAATAATGTATCCCGTAGCTCGATCGCTAGCGCACTCAGCTCACATAGTGAGGTCTGGAGTTTGAACCTCTGGTATGGCTGGAAAACATTAGAGACGTGTTTCCATAAGACACCTGCTGTCCCTGTTCACCCATCAAGATAAAATGGGTACCTGGGTGTTAGTTGACTGGTGTGGGTCACATTCTGGGACAAAACTGACCTAATTTGCCCGAAATACTCAGCTTAACAAGTGACTTTCTATATAGTAGTATGTCATTGGGGTCAGCTAGGCCTGTTTTGAGACACTCTAACCACGGGTTCAATCCCCACCTGTGGTATTTTTTTTTTTTAGGCCTGTATACCTTGTACATGTACTTGTAGAAATGAAGATATTATTATTATAATAAAAATAATAAATTATTATTATCATCACATAATAGAAATGCATTGTATTGTTACTATGTATGATAATTTGTGTACCTGTACCTAAATAAACTTACTTTTTTTGCCCTTAGCAATATTTATTACATGCAAACTACATTTTACATGCTGTAGAAAAGAATTAAAGTTGTATTGTGTTGTATAAACTGAATCCACATACGAGTAAACATGGTCATCGATAATTGTAAGTGCACATTATTACATGCTGCCCAAAATAACATTGTGTAAACACTAAAGTGTGCATCAAGGCTGAAGTTTCTTGCTCTCAACAGAAACGCAGTAATCAACGCCTCACTTCAATAGGACATTCCGACAGCTCTGGGTTATCTTCACCCACTGAAGAAAGACGTCCCCTCAATAGAATGCAGTCTAGCTATCGAACCAACAATCATCCCTTCAGAGAGACGTCTTCAGAATTCAGGGTCGGAGAAGCTGTCAGAGATGCAAGTCCAAGAGGGCCAATGAAGAGTTCTGCATCACTACCACACTTCTCTTCAGGTAATAAAAGTTAATTGCTTTAAATTGGTAATATTCATCATTGTAAAGAAGTGGGAAGGAATGAATTTTGTATGAACAAGAGTGAGATAAAATAGGGGATGCATTCCTTGAGGTCCCAGTGAATTTGAAAATCAGATAGAGTAATACTTAATTCAGTCTAATTCATTTTTTCAGATATGAACTCGTGCCATACACATTCAGTGTTTTCTTCAGTAAGCTACAGTAATGTGTATAGTTGACCCTTGTTTAACAGTAATTGCCTTCCTAAAAAAATGACCTGTTTTTAAAAAAAATTGTGAAAATGAACTGAAAGACATATGGGAAAAATAGGACTATGTTCCTTGGAACCAATCCCTCAAAATGCCAATTTTATTAGATCTAAAAATTCTTAAAAAAAGAAAAAAAAAAAACATAAGAATGGAGGAACACAGCAGAAGGCCTACTGGCCCATACAAGGCAGGTCCTTATCAAAACCACCCCTACCCAAAGCTACCCAAGAATTTACTCCCGTTCGTACGACACCAATCAAACCCAGCCCCTCTCACTCATGTATTTGTCCAATCTCTCTATCTCTTTTTTAAGTTACTTATAACTCAAAGTTACTAGTGTATGTTGATGATCTTTAAAGAAGTGGAGAGGTATGGTGTGGTCATTCTGGCCAAGGTGGAAGGTTGTGGATCATGGGGTATGGTGGATGGCTATGGCTCTTATACTGATGTTGATGCATTGTTACCTTTACAAGATCATTGTACTGGAGGGCTCAGGTGTTCTGTGATACATCTCTGGTATCTTTCACCCTACAGTACTTTATACAGCTCGCAGTAAGGCATCATTGGTCTCTCCAGATTCAGCTTTAGGGTGGTGCTTCTAGATTGTCAGGGTCTTCTTTGGCAAAAAATTCTGCCATTTTAGCAGCAGTATAGACCTGCTTATGTAACTGTTGCAGTGGTAGCTGTTTCTTTGCAGGTTCTTATTCCTCATCTGTTATCTGCCTCCCTTCAATCTGGGAATTGAGCTTTACTAATACAGGAGGCCCTCCACATTCGTGAGGGTAAGGGGATCAAGAACCTCGCAAATTTTGAAAATTCGTGAATGTTTGGTGTGCAAATATAATGTAGGGAAATATAATAGTACTGTACTGTAGCATTCACAAATGTTTTGATGCACAGATATCTTTTTCAACACACCGGCCGTATCCCACCGAGGCGGGATGGCCCAAAAGGAAAAGCAAAAGTTTTTCCTTTTACATTTAGTAATTTTTTTTTTTCCAACAAACTGGCCATGTCCCACCGAGGCAGGATGGTCTAAAAAGAAAAACGAAAGTTTCTCTTTTTAAATTTAGTAATTTATACAGAAGAAGGGGTAACTAGGCCCTTGCTCCCGGCATTTTAGTCGCCTCTTACAACACGCATGGCTTACGGAGGAAGAATTCTGTTCCGCTTCCCCATGGAGATAAGAGGAAACAAACAAGAACAAGAACTAGAAAGAAAATAGAAGAATACCCAGAGGGGTGTGTATATATATGCTTGTACATGTATGTGTAGTGTGCCCTAAGTGTAAGTAGAAGTAGCAAGATGTACCTGAAATCTTGCATGTTTATGAGACAGACAAAAGACACCAGCAATCCTACCATCATGTAAAACAATTACAGGTTTTCGTTGTACACTCACTTGGCAGGACGGTAGTACCTCCCTGGGCGATTGCTATTTACCAACCTACTACCTAGGACATTTAGTAATATATACAGGAAAAGGGGTTACTAGCCCCTTGCTCCTGGCAATTTAGTCTCCTCTTACAACACGCATAGCTTACAGAGGAAGAATTCTATTCCACTTCCCCATGGAGGTAAGAGGAAATAAACAAGAACTAGAAAGAAAATAGAAGAAAACCCAGAGGGGTGTGTGTATATATATGCTTGTAGTATGTGTCCTAGGTAGTAGATTGGTAGACAGCAACCGCCCAGGGAGGTACTACTGTCCTGCCAAGTGAGTGTAAAACAGAAGCCTGTAATTGTTTTACATGATGGTAGGATTGCTGGTGTCTTTTTTCTGTCTCATGATCATGCAAGATTTCAGGTATGTCTTGCTACTTCTACTTACACTTAGGTCACACTACACATACATGTACAAGCACATATATACACACCCCTCTGGGTTTTCTTCTATTTTCTTTCTAGCTCTTATTCTTGTTTATTTCCTCTTAGCTCCATGGGGAAGTGGAACAGAATTCTTCCTTCGTAAGCCATGCGTGTTGTAGAGGCGACTAAAATGCCGGGAGCAAGGGGCTAGTAACCTCTTCTCCTGTATATATTACTAAATGTAAAAGGAGAAACTTTCATTTTTCCTTTTGAGCCACCCCGCCTCGGTGGGATACGGCCAGTGTGTTGAAAGAAAGAAGAAGAAAGAAAATAGAAGAAAACCCAGAGGGGTGTGTGTAAATATATATGCTTGTACATGTATGTGTCCTAGGTAGGAGGTTGGTAGACAGCAACCGCCCAGGGAGGTACTACCGTCCTGCCAAGTGAGTGTAAAACAGAAGCCTGTAATTGTTTTACATGATGGTAGGATTGTTGGTGTCTTTTTTCTGTCTCATAAACATGCAAGATTTCAGGTACATCTTGCTACTTCTACTTACACTTAGGGCACACTACACATACATGTACAAGCATATATATATTACATACCCCTCTGAGTTTCTTCTATTTTCTTTCTAGTTCTTTGTTCTTGTTTATTTCCTCTTATCTCCATGCGGAAGTGGAACAGAATTCTTCCTCCGTAAGCCATGCGTTTTTGTAAGAGGCGACTAAAATGCCGGAAGCAAGGGGGTAGTAACCCTCCCCTATAAATTACTAAATTTAAAAAAAGAAACTTTTGTTTTTATTTTTG